TAATTAGTTTAGTTAATTAGTTATTTAATCTCAAATTATCGCAGCAACTGAGTGAAACAAAGAAAACACACAAAGCATAACAAGAGAACATAGACACAAACAAGTAGTACAGGGTGTCACATGAACCGAACTGGTATCAACTAAATATACTTTTGCAACTAATTGGTCACCTGTAACGACTGCAATGAGATATAAAACTATCTCTTTTCTCTCTCTCTTTACCATCTCACCTGAATAAAGAAATAAAGAGAATAATATTAATTTTCCTACAGGTGTGTGATCTATGAGACACGCTGTAGAACACCTTGATAAGAATACCTGTACTGTATCTAGGCTGTAGGAGGAGGGGGTAGGGTGAGGAGGACGGTGAAGAAGGCCAGGGAGAAGGATTCATGTTATATTCCATGCATCAAGCCTGACACACGCCCTCCTTGCTTCCAAATGAACTTGCTGAGTAACGCATCATAAAACTTAACGAGTGAACGTAATGGAATCGTCTCAAGAGGACTGACTAGAGAGTTATTACGGCTAACTTAGTCTGACTCTGACATCGTGAGGTTAATTTTTATAGGTAAGGAGGGTAGGAGGTAGGTAAGGGGGATAGGAGGTAGGTAAGGAGGATAGGAGGTAGGTAAGGGGGATAGGAGATAGAGGAGGTAGGTAAGGGGGGGATAAGGAGGATAAGAGGTAGGTAAGGAGGATAGGAGATAGGTAAGGGGGATAGGAGTTAGGTAAGGGGGATAGGAGGTAGGTAAGGGGGATAGGAGGTAGGTAAGGGGGATAGGAGGTAGGTAAGGGGGATAGGAGGTAGGTAAGAAGGATAAGAGGTAGGTAGGGGGAGGAGAGGATAGGAGATACGTAGGAGGAGGGGAAAAGGTCAGGTGAAAGGTCAAGTCAGTTGTTGTAGCTCTTGCATGGTATAGTCGTATTGCGTATAACCACCACTAAAGGTTTCCTTCCGCTCGGTGCTGTTTCAAACCCAAATGAGATACTACAGCGCCACCTATGGGTTCATTTACAGTTCGAAACCTTGTTCCAATAGTTCGAAGCCTTGTTCCAACAGTTCAAAGACTTGTTCCAATAGTTCGAAGCCTTTTTCCAACAGTTCGAAGCCTTGTTCCAACAGTTCGAAGCCTTTTTCCAACAGTTCGAAGCCTTGTTCCAACAGTTCAAAGCCTTTTCCAGCAGTTCGAAGTCTTGTTCCAACAGTTCGAAGTCTCAGGCGTGTAAAGTTATCGTATTTACAGTATCAGATTATCGTGGCCAAGTACCAAGCTATTGTACTCAAAGTATCAACTTATCGTACTCAAAATACCAAATCATCGTACACAAAGTATCAAATTATTGTACTCAAAATACTAAATTATCGTACATAAAGTATCAGAGTATCGTACACAAAGTATCAAGTTATCGTACACAAAGTATCAAGTTATCCTACTAAAATATCAAGCTTAAAGGATTAGTTTATTATACTCAAGGATTTACTTTGTCATAATCAAAGGGTTAAATCAAGCCACTCGAGGGGTAACTCAAAGGCTTAAAGCGTTCGTTCGTCGTATCTTTGACAACTTGCTCGACAAAAGTATCTGAGCCCGAACAAATTAAATTCACAGAACAAGATTAACGAAATGATATGCCATACCGGAAGCCAGCCGAATGTAAAGACCTGGAGCGGGTATTTTGGCCTCAATGTTCACCTACCGTAAGATCTAAGCGTCCGTAATGTTGTTGGAAAGAGTGAAGCTTTATGGAACACTAGCCAACACTCGCAATGCTCAATAATTCATACATAATTGAACAGGTTGGATGAGTGGTACAGGCGGAGGCAAAAACTCCTGCCCGACAATTATCATATGTGGATATGTTGCCTCGACTCGCCCGACAAAAACAAACCCTCTGTGGAAACTTGCGCTAAAAGAGAGAGAGAGAGAGAGAGAGAGAGAGAGAGAGAGGAACTGAAGGGGGGAGGGTTTAAAAAATCTTGAATTATGGAGAGGTTTTCAGGATGATCATTTGCATTTTCATGTCGCTTCGTCTCAAATGTTGTTGGGGTTCTCTTAACAACAAACAGCGGCGGCCCCAACTTAATACCTTGAAGGACGCTGTACCTAAGGTGTTGTTAATCATATCTATATAATTTTTACTCTACTCAGTCTCAGTCCAACATTTTGTTTGCGTTTTTTTTTTCACTAACAGACACACACATAATTAACCGAGAGATAATAATGAGTGGTCAAGCTTGTCTTTAATCAGTAGAGGAAGATGATGTGAGAGCAGATAGACGCGTTGGGTTCCTGCTGGCCCATTTGTTTACGCCAAGCAGGTCTGTCTGTGATGGTCGACCTCCCTGGGGGGCTGCTGGTGATAGTGGTGGTAGTGGTAGGGATGGTGATGGTAGTGGTGGTAGTCATGGTGATGCTGGTAGTGATAGTGGGGGTGGTGGTGGTGGTGATGATGGTGGTAGTGGTAGGGATGGTGATGGTAGTGGTGGTAGTCATGGTGATGCTGATAGTGGTAGTAGTCGTGGTGATGCTGGTAGTGGTAGTAGTCGTGGTGATGTTAGTGGTGGTAGTAGAGGAAGATCTAGAGTCCTGGACCAAGAGATAGAGTCTGCCAGAGAAAGACAGAGAGAGAGACAGAAAGACAGCCAGAGATAGAGAGAGAGAGACAGACAGGGAGACAGAAAGACAGAGATAAAGAAAGAGATAGACAGAGAGAGAGAAAGAGATAGACAGAGAGAGAGGGAGAGACAACCAGAGAGAGAGAAAGAGAGAGTCCGTGTTGTGACGTCATGTATTTAATCTCAGCCATGTTGTGACGTCACGCGGATAGTTGACCATTAATCATCCTTAGAGCCGGGTTACATTGCTACCCTCCAGTGACTAAGGAACGAGGGATGGGATGTAGGTAGCGGGTAGGAGATAGGTAGAAGGATAGGAGATAGGTAAAGGATATGAGATAGGTATAGGTATAGAAAACAGGTAAGAGGAAAGGAGATAGATGGCGGGTAGGAAATAGGTAGAAGGATAGGAGATAGGTAATGGTGGTAGTAGGGTTAGTTTGTGATAATAAAGGATGATAGTAGTAGTGAAAAGGTGTAAGTGGGTCCCATAGGCATGACTACCCATTAGAGGCAGTGTGGATGTGTGGATACAGCACACTGTATACTAGGCCTCCGGTGCACAAGGAGGCAGCATGGCCGGTACTGCTCTCCACCGCCTTCACTTCCTCAGCTGGATGAACTGGGAATGCCCGGGGATCGAACCAACAACTCATGGGACAGGAGGCGAGCGCTGCATCCACTGGACCGTCGCAATTCTAGATTTACACTGAGACTCGACCTTAACTTGATTCAGTCTCTTATTTCCAGTTAAGGGAAATATATTAGCGGGTTAATCTTTGAGCATCCGCCCTGGCTGTTATAATTAAGGGAATTTATTATTAAAAAAATAGTAAATTGTTTTAATTGCAGTAAGTGGAAAATTACTCGTTACCGCACAAACCTCCGCCCCAATGACGCCTTTTACTAACCTAACCTAACAGAACCCAAACCTAACCTTACAAAACAATTAGGATTTGAGTCTATTAGTGTTAGGACCCATTAGCAATTAGGCCCATTAGAACAGGGACTCTGGGAACCTGTTTGACCAGCCACAGTACAATGTTCAAAATACATTATCCAGTGCAATGAAACCTCCATATAACAAACAGACTTCCCTCTACATATAACAGACCCTCGATATAACGAACTTTCATCTCTATATAGTTGATTAGATGGAAGTTTCAAATATAACAGACATTCGATATAGCAGACATTCTCCTTATTGTCCGTTAAATAGAGGTTTCACTATATTTTGACCCTTGACCTGTGACCTGTTAGTACCGTCTGGAATTAAGTCAACTCTTCCCTAATTAATTGTCCAACCCATATCGGTGACCTGGATATTTTATGTCTGTTATTTACACACACACACACACACACACACACACACACACACATCTGAAACAAATATAATATCCCCATTTGCCCTCTAAGTAGAGAGAGAGAGAGAGAGAGAGAGAGAGAGCAATGAATGGGGAATAGAGAAGGTGGTCAGTGAGTGGGTGGGTGGTAGTGGTGGTGTTAGCGAGAGGGAATGGGTGGGGAGATAATGAATGGGGATGAGGATAGAGCAGTGGGAAGGGGGAGGGGATGGGGCGGTCGCGTTCGAGGGAGTAGGTGGGGGAGGGGAGAGAGTACAGGTGTGGGGATAATTAATGGGGTGGAAGAACGAGAAGGTAGTGACTGGTTGTTGCTGGAGGAGGAGGGGGAGGAAGGGTGGTGAACGGAGGGGGGAGGAGAGTAACTGAGGGTCAGGGTCGTCAGTGAGTGGGAGGTGGTGGGAGTAATGAGTGGTGAGTGGGAATAGAGGATGGTGAGAGCAGTATGGGCTAGTGAGAGTGGGAGGAGAGGGGCAGGCACAGGAGTATCCAATGAGTCATAATCTTTCAGAAATTTGACTCAAGTGAAAGTACATTGTTTACAAGTACAAAGGAGTGATGTGCTACAGGCGGTCAGCGAGGTAGGGAGGGCCGCCCACGCCCGCCCACACACGCAGCCTCAGACAGTGATGAGCACCAATACAAATTAACTGGCCAAATCGGCGGCACCATCTCATTGCGGTCAGCCGCACTTTGGGCCGTAATTATCCGCGGTTCTGTAGGGTTGGTGGGTGAAGGTGAGCTAGGGGGGGGTTACGTGCGGATACTTCACGCCCTCTGGTTGGGGGGGGGGTTGCTGGGGGAATGGGGAGGGGAGGTGGTGTGTTGGGAAAGTGCGTTGGTGGGTCTATGTGAGAGGAGTGTGTGGAGGCGTGGTAGGGACTAAATGTGGTGGTGGAAGAATGCCAAGTGGAGTCCAGGTGTGTGTGTGTGGCGGAAAAGTGCGTGGTGGTGGGGTCCAGGTGTGTAGTGAGGTGTGGTGGGCTACTCGCAGACGTCCTGTGATCACGGGGGTTCCTTCAGTGTGCATCTTGGTGGTGTGCCGGTACAACGCCTTGCTGCCCCTCCTCCTCCCCCCACTCCTTGACCCGGGAGGCGTCTCAAACCTGTGATAATCAAGTGTTTAACAGTGTCTTACAGGAGAGATGAGCACTTAACTAGTGTAGTGGTGACGAGTGATACCACACGGCCAAGTTTAGGCTGGTAGCCCTGCGGGGGAGTGTAAAAACAGTAGCCAAGGACTTCAGAACCTCCCAGAGACCTCAGAACTTCCTCCCAAGGATCTCAAAACCTCATTTTAAACCTTCAAAACCACCTTGTGGGGTTCTGACTGTGTCCAGAACTCAGGGGAGGGAAGAAAGGACTCTACCGGCGGGAGACGTAGCGAGGAACAGTTTGTGAAGTGTCTGAAGACACCTACCTGTGGGAGCAGCGCAGGTGGACGCTCCTACCAGCGCCTCCAGGGGACGCACCATGAGGCAGGGAGCACCATGGCGTCCTGTGGGCGTCCTGAAGGCTGGCCGGAGTGGACGCTAGGGCACGGCATGTGAGGCAGTGGCCGCCATGAGGTGGTGGCAGGCTGGGGCCGTGGGTCTGGCCGTGCTGGCCTCGCTTCTCCTGGTCCTACACCCAGCACACGCTACCTGGTGGTGAGTACCCCACCTCTCTCTCTCTCTCTCTCTCTCTCTCTCTCTCTCTCTCTCTCTCTTGCATGATGCTGCTGTTATCTGCGGTACTTGTGCCGTTGATGATTCGTGTTGCTGTTATCTGCCGCTTATGGTGCTGCTGCTGTTGCTGATGATGATGATGTATAAGTGTTGCCCCAGCAAGTAGTGGTGACGGTGACAGACAGTTAGCCTCCGTGTGTGGTAGTGTCTGTGGTGGTTTGTGACGAGTGTCCACCGCTTCTCCTGACAACCCCAACACAGCGAGGAGTGAGTTAGGTGTTTACATGGAGGTGGTAGTGTGGCGGTGTTACCAACCAGCCAGCCAGCCACCTTGTGATGAAGATTATGTTGATCGGCGAGTGCCTTGTGTTGAGGGTAATTGTGTTGAAGACGTCAGTGCCAGTCTTTGATGTGATAAACGTGTCCCCGTGAGTGTTGTAGTGATGATGATGATGATAATAGTGACAGTGATGATGATGGTGATGATGATGGTAATGATGACGATAAAGACAACGAAAATGGAGATAATAATTATATGAACTGTGAGAACATGCAAGAAGTGGTAATCACAAAGGTTATTCAGACATAACAGAATACAGTTACAGTTACAGGGAATCAATTACGTAGTACACATACATACAGCAGTTTATCCCCCATGCCTACCCCCTCCACCCATCAAGTATAAGGTTATCCCCCTCCCCCCTCCCCCTCACCCAATATAGTGACAACCATAACGCCTTAACTAATTCATAGAATAACATTATCAAATCACTATGTCATTTTATGCATTATAGGAACTGAATAGAATCATTGAGATATATTATAATGGTGTTTTTTCTTACCGCGGTTTTTACCGAGTCATTAATGGTGGTCAGTCAAGCGTCGGAAGCTGAAAACAAAACACGAAAAAGTGAAGAGAAAAAGCTTGTTTTGGAATGCTAATGTTCGCTGATGATGGTGGTGGTGGTGGTAGTGGTAGAGAATGTGGTATGTTTGTATGTGGTGGTGGTGGTAAAGGATGAGGTATGTATTGGTGGTAGTAGTGGTAGTGGTGGTGGTGGTAGAAGATGCGATATGTGGTGGTAGTAGTGGTGGTTGTGGTAGAGGATGCGGTATGTGGTGGTAGTAGTGGTAGTGGTGGTAGAGGATGCGGTATGTGGTGGTAGTAGTGGTAGTGGTGGTAGAGGATGCGGTATGTGGTGGTAGTAGTGGTAGTGGTGGTAGAGGATGCGGTATGTGGTGGTAGTAGTGGTAGTGGTGGTAGAGGATGCGGTATGTGGTGGTTTGTGTTGGTTATGGACTTATGGTAGAGAATATGGTATGTGGGATATATGGTGGGGGTGGTGGTAGTAGTAGTGGTAGTGGTGGTGGCGGTAGTAGTAGTAGTACTGTTACTAGTAGTAGTGGTAGTTGTAGTAGTAGTGGTAGAAGTAGTGATGGTGGTTAACGATGATGTAAATCATGGTGAGTAGGGAGCAAATGAGACCAGTTTTCCCATGTTGGAGGAGGAGGAAGAGGAGGAGGAAGAAGAGGAGGAGGAGGAGGAGGAGGAAGAACCTGTTTGCGTGGGTTCCTCGTAAGGTCTTCCTACACACTCCCGCTTCTTGGTATGTTGATATCTTGACCTCCACTACTGATATCTTTAGTATACTGACAATTAGGAGAGATATACTGATACATTCTTCCCAGGACGGTCTACAAACCTTACAACTGTTTTTTCCTTAGGGGTATTTTCTCTTAACCAATATTTTCCACTCTTCCCAGGACGATCAACCAACCTTCTCTCTGGTTGTATTGTTATGGATATTTTGACTTGGTACAGTTTACCCTAATGGGTCAAATAATTAATTATTCAATTATTACGTAACAAAATTCGTAAATTACCGAGTGAATTCTTTCCCTGCGTCCCAGTTCGTATAATCTTCGAAAAAAAAACTTTATTAATGGAATTTTTTAAATAATTCAGTCATAATTCAACTTAAAATCCAATTATTTATGGTTTTCGATATATTAGTTAATTTAGGTATCTGTTATTTTCTGTCCATCATTCGTTACACTGTTATGGTCTGATCATGGAGTTGTGTTTGATATCTTAGGCCATCAAGCTCTCTGTGGTGCAGGTGTTGGCACCCTCGCTAACCTGAGTGATGTGGGTTCGAGGATTTCGTTCACATCCTTGCGGGGATTCTGTGTGTATTCATTCATTAATAATTAGCGAATGTGTTTTATTATTTTAATGAAGCTATTACATATACTGTATATTCAGGATATTTCTTCATTAAAATATTCGGTATCACTACAGGCTCCCCACCATGCACACCTCACTAATGCAGGTTAGGACCACTTCCCGCTCACCTTTATGCCTTAACAATATCAGATACTTTCATAAGTTGTCTGGCGACCTTACTGTAACTTATTATTTTTAAGAAAAAAATAAAATAGTAATGTTATTGAACATTTATGTTCGTTATTAGTATGTGTGTGTGTGTGTGTGTGTGTGTGTGTTGATGCACCTAATAATTTAACATGTATTCATTTGATAAGTTCATGGTGGCCGTTGCTTCACTCGATAATTTAACCATCTGAATGTCTACACTTAATACTTTGCCCAGTTTGCTTGCTCCTCTACCTAATAATTTAACATCAACACGTCCCTAACGATCATATGATAATCCTTGTGTCTAATTCTGTAATGTGAGTTATTATATCTTTATTTATCTTCTTCATCCTTTACCTGGTCAGTGTTGTCATACCCGGGCTCTTGAATATATACCCGAGAACGTATCAGTATTATTGGTCAAGGCTGCAGGACTTCTCACTTGGTGCCGCCACAACACTCACTGGCATTTTGTTCCAGGAGATCACACAGTGGTAACTCTCTTACCTCTAGGGCTGTGACCTCTAGTGTAACGGCCAGCGACTAATTCCATATTGGTTAGTGCTGGTTGAGGTACCTTATAAACCGTAGTTAAATCTTGTTGATCTCTTGTGTAATATAAACTGGTCAGCTGTAAACGTTGTGGTTCTTCTTGGTAAGGGAGTAACGGCGCCTCTTATAGTCCATCTTTGGATCTTCTCAATTAATGGTCAGTCTTGGAAATTATCTCAGTGACCAACTAGGATTACTATACACCAAAATTGGAATGGCCAGCGTGTCTAAAGAACTTTATAAGAGACGGATCATTTAGATATGTATAAGATATTGGGACTAATCTATAAGGAAAACATGCGTATAAGGCTCACTGGCTCTAGAAGTGATCTGTAACATTAGGTAGAGGAAATTATTATTGACGCCAAGATCTGTTTCACACGTAGTATCAATAAGGGCGATAGTTTCCTGACAGTGAGACGTCTTATAAACCTCCCGACTGTTGTTAACGCCAAAATGCATCTCTTTATATTTATCGACGTAAAATATTTGTAACAGTAATTATTTTCCAAGTCCTTATAGTTAGTAAAATTTGAACTTTCTTTAAATAACTTAATACCATCAGTAAATATCTCCGCGGATGGGATAATAATACCTTGTGTAACATTAAAGGAACAGAGAAACCACGCCGGCCTTACCACACACCTCTGCGGCACGCCACTTGTCACGGATGCACTCTCACCTCCTTTGGTTACTGAATTAAACACATCACCCAGTCCTTCTCACCGTCACCATCAACTTGTCTCTTGAAACTTGAGATTTTTTCTTAACTTAGGGCAAGCGAATGTTTATTATATTTATACTTAAAGGTGTACATGAAGCTACCAAGAGGTCTTTAGTATATACTGAGTATATTTATCCATTAGGTGTATATGATTTTGTTCTCTATAATTCTTAAGGAAAACTCACGATCTTCGTCATTTAACAGGCTCACACAATTCAATTTTCTTGTTTTATACTATTATATTTATCGCCATTTTTAACCTCGGCTGTTCTCGTCATGTACAGTACCAAGTATATATATTACGGTTGTGTGTTCTCAAATATATTTATTCCTCATAGACTAAACACACAAGAAATGCACCTAACTAATTTACTTAAGTATAAAACAAACACAAAAATATAATTAATATTTCTATACATGTAAAGTTATGGAATCGCATTGTTATGAAGTATGTTTTTGGTTAAGTTAATGTTTGTGCTTTAACTTAATTTATCCAGTTATATATGTTTTTCATGTCTTCAGCTACGAGGAAATATTTCTATCTCGCATGAACGTTTGTGAGTCGGGGAATGTGGAGCACAGTTATTATGGGTCGTTTTCGGGGTGTGGTCAGGGTATGTCTGTGTGTACACGTCTCGCCCCAGCTAGATGGTAGTCGGAGTGGGTGTGTCCTACTGTCTACCAAATAATTTGATAATTTGGTACCCTTGCACCCGATAATTGGATAGTCTACACGTCCCGCGAAATAATTTGATATTCTTGTATCCGATAATGTGACAGTCTGCATGTTCTCGTGAAATAATTAGATAATTCATACGTTTGCATCCGATAATTTTAATGTATAGCTCTTTACCGGATGATTCGATAATTTTTTGTTCCTGCAACCAATAGTGTGATAATGAACAGTACACGTCTCCTCCTGTTGACAGTACCAACCAATAGTGTGATAATGAACAGTACACGTCTCCTCCTGTTGACAGTACCAACCAATAGTGTGATAATGAACAGTACACGTCTCATCCTGTTGACAGTACCAACCAATAGTGTGATAATGAACAGTACACGTCTCCTCCTGTTGACAGTACCAACCAATAGTGTGATAATGAACAGTACACGTCTCCTCCTGTTGACAGTACCAACCTATAGTGTGATAATGAACAGTACACGTCTCCTCCTGTTGACAGCAGTACCAACCAATAGTGTGATAATGAACAGTACACGTCTCCTCCTGTTGACAGTACCAACCAATAGTGTGATAATGAACAGTACACGTCTCCTCCTGTTGACAGTACCAACCTATAGTGATAATGAACAGTACACGCTCCTCCT